AACTATGAATAAAAACATACTTTTTTTTATGCTTATGAGTAAGGAAAATAACGATTCAGGGTGATGCCTGAATTCTCACTGCTAATGTAAGACGAATTTTTGAGCCAGTAAAGGATGCCCCTAAGGTGACCCACCTACTTTTCAGGATGCCTGGGAGTTTCAATCTGCCTGAAAACAAAACAAACAAACAAACAAACAAACAAACAAAAATAAATTTTTTTAAGTGAAAGAAAAAAACTAAAGTAAACTTTATGGGGACCACCGTTCCTTAGGACAGTCCTGTATTACACAGAACATTTCAATAGCTGATACAGGGCCAGCTGTGGTCAGAAGTTATAATTCTGTTAAGGAAGATTTAAGGTGGTGTTCCTAAATAATAACTCAATTAAAGAAGATTTAAAAAATTATGATAAGGACATATGAAATCCCACACATCAGTAATATATTTGAAATTCTGGTTATATCTTTCCAAACATTTTTCAATAAATGTTTATACATCTGTGTATCTTTATACATGTGTACAAGTATTTTCTTATCCTATATAATAAAAGCCTAATGTGCTAAGTATGCAGTCAACCAATCAAAGCATAATATGCTAATGATATGCTAAGGCCACTCAACTACTCGCTATGACATGCATTGACCACCAGGGGGCAGATAGTAGACAAATCGACCAGTCACTATGACGTGCACTGACCACCAGGAGCAGACACTGCAAATGGTAGGTTAGCTTGCTGCTAGGATCTGGCTGATCTAGACTGAGAGAGACGGTCTGGAAACACCCTGGAGTCCTGTGATCCCTCCCCAGCTGGCCAATCTCCTGAGTCCCTCCCCAGCCCCGATTGTGTACCAGTGGGGTTCCTCAGCCTGGCCTGTGCCCTCCTGAAATCCAGGACCCCTCAGGGGATGTCCGAGAGCCAGTTTCAGCCTGATCCCACAGGCCAGGCCGAGGGACCCACTGGTGCATGAATTTGTGCACTGGGCCTCTAATGTGTGTGTATGTGAGTGAGTGAGTGTGTGTGTGTGTGTGTGTGTGTGTGTATTATATATATATATATATATATATATATATATATATTATAATTTCAAAAAATTTTAAATACATTTTATTGATATTTTTACAGAGAGGAAGGGAGAGGGATAGAGAGTTAGAAACATTGATGAAAGAGAAACATCAATCAGCTGTTTTCTGCACACCCCCACTGAGGATGTGCCCAGAACCAAGGTACATGCCCTTGACTGGAATCGAACCTGGGACCCTTTAGTCCACAGGCTAATGCTCTATTCACTGAGCCAAACCAGTTAGGGTTAATTTCAAAATGTTTTTAAATTCATATTAAGATAAAAATTATGGCACATAAACTTTTATGCATCCATCATTGTCATGAGTCATTTATGTGGAATATTTCAATTCTGAAATGATTATAGAGATTAAAGGCAATATTTTGTTATTATTAACTTAGTTCTCTTATGGAGAACATACTTACACAATAGGGGGAAAATAGAAATACATAAAGTCTCTAGGATTAAAGAAGTTTCCAAGTATCAAGTAATATAAAAAGACTTAGACATAGAAGATCTAAGTTCAACTGTAGCTGTATTCCTTGCCAGCTATGTGACATCAGCCAGCCCTTCCACCTCACTGAGTCAACTATCTTCTATATAAAGCAAGCACCCTCCGAAACCGGTTTGGCTCAGTGACAGAGGGTCCCAGGTTCATTCTGGTCAGGGGCATGTATAATACATTGGTTGTGGGCACATCCCCATTGGGGGGGGGTGCAAGAGGCTGCTGGTCGATGTTTCTCTCTCATCAACATTTCTAGCTCTCTATCTCTCTCCTTTCCTCTCTGTAAAAAATCAATAAAATATATTAAAAAAAAAAAAAAAAAAAAAGCAAGCACCCCACAATAGTGTGGATTAAAATAAATATTTTATGTGAAAATACTTCGTAAACTAGACACGGCTAATCAAAAATAAGAATTTAAATAACAGATATAATGTAGAATTTTAAGCATAATAAAGACTTGTCTTCTCTTAGACCTATCCCATTCAATGTTCCTACTGCCTGAAATCCAATTCAATAGGGATCCTATTGGAGGAAGGGGAGTCAATGTTATGGCCATTGTAGGATTTTATGCCTGGTATCTGCCCTTAATGCCAGTAGTGTCTCCCACCGTGGCACAAATTTATTTCTCTAAACTCATCTCCTTTTGGTTTATTCACTCTTACAGACTGAATTGTCTGTAAGTTAATGACTTTTGAATCCACATTTACAGTCCTTTTCTCCAACCAATGATCTAGCTCCAAAGTTTCAATCTGGAAATACTTGGGGTGGATGGAAAACAACTGTTAATTTTTCTCCTTTTCTGCCACATTGCCATTATTTAACTCCCATGCTAAAAATTCTATAATAACTCTTTAGTATTTTATATATACTATTTTATAAAAACAAAACCTGGTTATGGTATTGTTTTAATTGAGAGCTGGAAGCCTCAGTGTGATGTTTCCTGGTTTATCTCTCTGCTTTTATTAGATCAGTCAAAAAAAAAGTTAAAGCACATAATTTCTCTCAAGTCTCAAGGCATTGAAATTTATTCTAGTAAAAGTACAATCAACACAAACAAAGTTACATAGCTTCTCCCATATAAAATACTGACTGTGAAGGAGAGAGGAATTCTGGGTAGTTGAGACAATGAGGTTATGTAAGTCTAAAATTCTTAGTGTATCCTCACAAAAACAAATACAGGAAAAGAAAAAGAACAATTAAAACTACACAAAACTCAGATCTTTTTTTATATATATATTTCATTGATTTTTGTACAGAGAGGAAGAGAGAGAGATAGAGAGTTAGGAACATAAATGAGAGTCATTGATCAGCTGCCTCTTGCACACCCCCTACTGGGGATATGCCTGCAACCAAGGTACATGCCCTTGACCGGAATCGAACCTGGGGCCCTTTAGTTCCCAAGCCGACGCTCTATCCATTGAGCCAAACCGGTCCTGGCAAAACTCAGATCTTTAACACATACAAACTTCTAATTACATGTAAAAAGAAACAGACAAACTGAATACCAATGAGCTATCTCCCATGTTCCAGCTGCAAGCCTCTGAGGACAGTGAGGGCAGTTTAGGGAAACAAAACTGAACAGAGAAGACAGAAGAGTATAAGAGTAATTTCATCAGGGCTCCTAAAACCTTTGGAATTTCCTGAATGACAGAAGAGTATTTTGTTAATCATAAGGAGCCTCCTTTGAGCAAACTAGAGTTTTTGCTAATGAGGTGATTTAGGATGGAGCCCCTATATAACCTCTGGAAGGGGCTGGTCATCAGCAAGACTAAGTGATTAGAGGGCTAGAACTTTCAACCCAACCCACTAACCTCCAGGGAAGGACACGGGAGCTGAAAATTAAGCTCTATAAAAACTCGTGGACAAAAAGATCTGATGAGCTTCAAGACTGGTAAACACCATCACAAGCTAGGAGAGTAATTCACCTCAGTTTCTGCACTTGGGACCTTCACGAACTTTCCCTATGTACCTCTTCATCTGTCTATCTTTATCCTTTATAACATTAAAAAAAAACTGGTAAAAATAAAATCCATTCTAAGAAATTATCAAATCTGAGGAGGGCTCATGGGAACCCCCAATTTACAGTTGGTAGGTCAGAAGTACATGTGACAACTTGAACTTTTGATTGACATCGGAAATGGGGCAGTCTTGTGGAACTGAACCCTTCATCTGTAGGGTCTGATGTTATCTCAAAACTGAGGTAAATTTATGGGATACCCAGTTGGTGTCTGCTGAGAACTGAAGAATTGCTTGGTGAGGGAAAACCCCACACACATTTGGTCTCAAGACTACTGAGAGTAGAGGAGAAAAAAAGTTTTTCCTTTATAATCAGGAATTGCAAAAACAAAGAAGTGGGCAAAAACAGAAAGAAGTGAAATAGAGCTGAATAAACACCAGAAAGAAATAGAGGGAGAAAGGCAAAATGATATCAGAAATGAAGACAAAATTACATAGTGCCCAAAGAATACATTTACATAACATAATAACGGCTCTGAAAACAGCAAAAAAAAACAACCAAGAGAATGAAAATGAAAATTTTTTAAAATTAAAAAGTAAAAAGCATCAGAGAGAAAGCATTTGATATAGAAGATAGCAAAAAGAAATTCAATTTATGTTGAGAGCCCCTGCAAATGGTAAAACATTGTTCCGGAACTAATATTTTAAATTATAATAAAATAAAATAAAAACTTTTGGAAATAAAAGAAGATCTACGCTACATTATTTAAAGAACCCACTGAACTCTTTAACCTGTAGCATGCAAATGGAACTGAAAAAAAGATCAAATAACTCACAAGAACAAGACCATTAACTGTCACCAAAATTCTCAAAAACAACATAAAGCAAGGCCAAAATGAGGGAGCATTTTCAAAAAGCTGCAGGAAAGAAATGTAAATTTAGTTTATATTCAGTTAAGCCATCCTTTAAGAACCAGGACATAGAGAAACAGTTTTAAACATACAAGGGCTCCTAATCATCAGCCCTTCTTGAGGAATCTACTACAAGGAAAAGTCACCAAACCAAGACATGATGGGGAAATTTCAGAAAAAAACTGGTGATGAATATGTAATATATTTAGTTATATATCTAAAAGCAAAACAAAGATGGAAATAAGAGTAGAAGAATAATATATAATATGACGGTGCTATATGTCATATATTGCATGTTCTGACAAAGTATAAATAAAACAACTCAAAATTTGATGGAGAAGGGAAAGCAGAAAATAAGGGAAGTAGAGTAAATGCCTTGGTTTATATGCAATCAATAGAAGTTAAAGTAAATACCATTAAAAACTCACAAACCAGTGGCAAATTTTCAAATGTGCGCAGCTCACGTTTTTTATATTAGTAAGATAAATACATTATCTACCTAAAAATTGCAAAGATGCAAATGCTACTTGGTATTTCACAATGAAACTTATCCAAAACTACTGTACCTTACAGTAAAGTCATAGGAGCAAGAGGCCAGCACAGAAGAATGAAACGGTGAAAACTATAAAAGAAAACATTTTTTTGAAGTTAGCTGTAATTATAATATGCTTAATAAATTAAAATCTAGTCAGGGCTATCACTAAAAATTATACTTTTCTGAACCTTATATGCTTTAATTCAAGGCAAAAATATTGTAGCCTTTTATGTACGTTATCATCTATAGAAAAAACACTTAAATTTAAAATAGTATCTTTTACATAAGTAATAACATACTTTCAGAAGCTGCCCTTTGCAATAACATTTCTTTATTGTCTTTCTCATCAGTACTTTAATAGTTACATACACATATTAACCAGATTTCCAACTTCTAATTTGCAAAATACTTTCACTACATTACCCTATTTCATTCTCAGGAGCACTGTGAACAAAAATTCAAAATATCTTCAACTATTAAAACCTGTGTGCCAGGGCACTGTGTCTCATATGTTAAGTTATAGCCATTAAAATTTAAAATACTAATTTAATTGAAATTTTATATTTTTGAAACAGGAATAGAATACTTATCTTCCTGAAAAGATCAATAACCCCAGCTGGTGTGGCTCAGCAGTTGAGCACTGACCTATGAACCAGAAAGTCATGGTTCGATTCCAGGTCAGGGCATATGCCTGGGTTGTGGGATCAATCCCCAGTAGGGGGCATGCAAGAGGCAGCCAATCAATGATTCTCTCTCATCTTTGATGTTTCTAGCTCTCTCTCCTCTCCCTTCCTGTCTGAAACCAGTAAAAAAAAATTTTTTTTTTTAAAGAAAAGATCGATAAAGTACATTTTACCTTCTGTGTAAAAAACAAAGAATGAAATTCTTTAAATTTCTGTTTCTTAATCTGCCTGGAGTTAAATAGAAGCTGGAAAACTAAATTATGGCTGTTATAAGCAGGCAAATTTCTTAGGAGCAGCAGAAAAAATTTATCTCATCCTCTGCTGTTTACAGAGTGGAAAATTTTTTATACCTCAAATGTTTGTGAACATTCATATATACTATCATGTTAGAGAAAAGAAAAAAAGTAACCATTTTGCTATATGAGTTTCAACAAAATAAAGAGATCATCTCACTGAATAAGAAATTATGAAGCATATAATACTAAATTATTATAGTTTAAAAATATTAAAAGAAATAGATCTGGGGAGGGAGGGCATGTATGGGAGTGGGGGGGCAATAGTAAGATATGTACACATACAATACCTTAATAAAAAAAAGAAAAAGAAAAAGAAATAAAAGAAAATAAATAGCAGATTGGGGATGACAGAATAACAAAAATTATTTAACTCTAAGTATGAATTTACTACATTGTCCCAATTCATTCAATAATTATTCAAATATTTTACCTAATATTAGCTTTCAATGTTCACTATAACTAGTTGGGTAACAAAAACATTCATAAAAGAGAATTAATAACTCCAACTTATAAGCACCTTTTATATTTCATTGATTATATTTTATTCTATGTATAAAAAGAAAAGATAAAAACTTACTTTCACTCTCCTGATAGCATAGGTGTGACCAAGCAGTTCAAACACTGGTTGTCGAACATTCCTCAAGTCCCAGCCCCTCAAACTACAGTCAACTGCCCCCGTCACCAGCAAATTCTGAAAGCAATGCAGAGAAAAATAAACTGTGACAATTCTTCAATTCAATAGTGTCCAGGTTCTTCTATTAGAAACAATATCTATTTTCGGATTATTATTTAATCAGAAGCCAGGAGTCATTCTTGAGAAGTTATATGACAATTATAGAAAGGAATCAAAATATACATCAGAAAAGCAAAAATTAGTCTGACTTGAGAGAAAAAGAACTCCATATGCTTTTAGTATGTATGGAACACTACTCACTACAGAAAAAGGCATGGTCCCAAATAGTACTGTAGATTTTCCAATCCACCTTTAGTAATATTAATAAGTATGTAATGGATTAAAAATTATGTCTGACAATGAGCCAACCTTTCTCTTCAGCATGCCCTGGGGGTTTTCTGGGCATTAAAAGGCAAAGGTTCTGTTAATTTAGGAATATTTGAAAGCAAAAGTATAAATTAAATCTTTATATATTTTTCTAAATCTAAATCAATCATTGTTCCCAACTCCCACAGGCCATGGCTTAATATGATATCTAACTATATCAGAAAACCTATGCAAATAATGATAAGCCTTCTTATCTAGTGGGTTTTGCAACTTCTGCTTTTTATAAACTCAAGTGGATCCAGAGTTCCTGGCTGAATAGGCCAAATGCACACTCAGTCCTATCCCACATCAACCAGACCAATAATTCATTGTCTCAATGTGTTGGGCTTCAGTATAAGATCATTTAAAAATAAGTTTCAATGTTTAAAAAGAAAATTTAAAGCACTCTCAAGTGTCAATGGACATCTTTTTTAGAATTCCCAAATATATAGTTCACAACTTCATTTTCCTATATGAAAAATTAATTATGATGAGAATAAACTGTAGTTATCAGCACTGAAATTTTTATTTTGATCAAGTATTACTATTGTATAGGTACTGCATTTTCTTTTAATCTATTTTATTTCTTTTTATTTAAAAAACTCTGCCAATATAATGTTCTCTTAATTTTTATTCATTAATTTAACACAGGGGACAATAAGGCATATGTTTTACTTCTTTGTCACAGTAACAGATCACTTCAGGTATATAAATGTATATATGTCAGCACACATTTGATCCATTACTATTTCTAATTCATATGTTTCTGTGGTTAACTGAAGCGTTACAAGAAGTTATAAATGGACACTGCTATCTTAAGAAGCATGAAGCTTGGTTAAGCTTATAAGGGAAGATAAAACAGAAAATATTAAAAACTGGTGGAATGTTAAATTAAAAATCAACCTACAAATAGTTCAGCAGCCTCAGTAGCAAATGAACAAGGATGGAAAGCAAAAGTTGACACAAATTGGCAGGGTTAAGAGCAATAAAGAAAAAAAATCACATAAATTGTGAAGCAGTTTCCAAAACAAACAAGTAAGGCTGCACTGTTGAACTTTGAGAATTTCTGTTTCTTATTCTGCCTGTTTTATGTGCACTTAAACTCAATTAATGCTAATGCAGGTCACTCGCAATCATCAATTAGAAGTGAAAGGGACTAAATTTAACTTAATGGTCCACAAACACTATCAAATCCACATAAACAAAGACAAAATAAAATCTAGAACATTTCACTATTGGGAAGGGCTGGAGAGATCAGGACAGAGCCAGATAGCTTACCTCATTGTATTTACACCAGTCGCAACTCAAAACTTCTGCCTGATGTGCTGGAACCACGATTCTGACTCCTGCTGCCTTCACATCCCAAATCCTCAGAGTCTGGTCACCTGGTGAAAGAGGAAGGCTGGATCACTGTGCATCACACCACCTGCATGCTCAATGACATGTATTCATGATGGTAAGTCATGGGAAACACACTGCTTTCTGAGAGGATACTGCCATCTGCTTATCACATAAATACACATATTGTTTAACTATAATAATGCATTATAAGATTTACTAAAACTGATAAACTACAACAAATAACACACCATGACAATGTTTTTTAGATGTTCAAATTGGAAAAAACTGAGTCTCACACTGAGAAAAGCACAGTGCTGACCAAACACACGTGTGTTTTTCTCTTTAGGAAAAGAGCCCAAAAATTCTTGCTTCTATTAAATAAAGTTAGCGCCCTGTACCAGCACATGCTACAAGAAATAAAACAGTAACAATTTTATTACTGAACGTAGAGTTTAGTGTAATAAAAGTTTCTGCAAAGCACCAATCATTACTGCTAGCACAAAGTAGATATTTTAATAAATGGCATATAAAAGTGCTAAATCTTTAAATTATTCTTTTTTAAAATATATTTTATTGATTTTTTTACAGAGAAGAAGGGAGAAGGATAGAGAGTTAGAAACATCGATGAGAGAGAAACATCGATCAGCTGCCTTCTGCACAGCCCCAAATGGGGATGTGCCTGCAACCAAGATACATGCCCTTGAGCGAAGTCGAACCTGGGACCCTTCAGTCCGCAAGCTGACACTCTATCCACGGAGCCAGACTGGTTAGAGCTAAATATTCTTTACTTACTCACATATATGTTCCTACATTTTAGATTCTTAATCAGATCACTTGGCTAAATTTAGCTATTTTAGATAATTTTTTCCTAATTTCCTTGGATGTTAAAAAAGTTAAGAATTAAATTGTTGGTAGTAATGAAATGTGGAGGTTGCAGGTCTGCAACTGATACCCTGTTTCCCCGAAAATAAGACAGTGTCTTATATTAATTTTTGCTCCCAAAGATGCGCTAGGTCTTATTTTCAGGGGATGTCTTATTTTTCCATGAAGAAGAATATGGTACACATTTATTGTTAAATGAAAATAAAGGAAATTTATTACCTGTATACGGTACAGTAGTACGGTAGTTGTCAACACAAACCAGAAAAACTGTGAATCCTACAGTATCAAGAATTTACTCATTTATTCAATGACAATCACGTCATCATCTTCTGGAACATCATCATAACAATCCAATTCCTGAATTTCCTGGTAAATTTCTTGTGACTCCATTTCTTTCAGAATCAGTGGACCAAATCTCTCTTGTTTAGCCTAGGGGGGCCTTTTTCTTGGGGGGATGCCTTATATTTCACTCAGAAGGAAGCCTGTAAATAGGTCTTATTTTCAGAGGATGTCTTATTTTCGGGAAAACACGGTAGAAGTTGACCAGACAGATCCAAGCAAGGCCTGTAGGCAAAGGAGATCCCTGATCATCTTGGAGGGAGTGATGAAGTTCATTTGGAGCTCCAGACTCTAAAAGCCTAGTCACAGACAAAAACATTGGATTTTCTGCAGGAGGCTTCCACTAAAACACAGAAAGTGCCTCAATGGTGTATTCCAGCTTTCCAACATTTATTTTATGTTAGGGCTGAAACTATAAAGTCTGCTATAACTATTAAGCATTGCTTAAAGTTCAGAGAGCTTGTGCTCACCGTAAAAATTACGTTATATGGGTATGGACTATTTAAGGTGACAAAATATTACAATGAATGTTGACTAGGAGATTAAGAAATAACTTTTATTCTAGCAACAATATGGATGGATCCCACAAAGAATGATGAGCAAAAGAAACCAGACACAAAAGGCAATGTTAATCTCTGCTATTAGGAGGCAGCAGTGGTCACCCTGAAGCCCAGAGGCAGTAATGACTGGAAGATAGGAGGAGGGCCTTTGGAAACATTTTGTTTCTTGATCTGTTGCTATTACACAGATGTGTTTTTTTTATAAAAATCACCTTGTACACTTAAGATTCTGTATTGTTCTGTATGTATATTACCTATATATATAAAAGCCTAAGCGACCATTAAGGAGGAACGACCAGAATGACTAGAACAACTGGTTGCTATGAAGTGCACTGGGCAGGCAGGCAGGTGAGCAATTAGGGGCGAGCAGGCAGGCAGGCGAGCAGTTAGGGTAAGCTGTCCCAGACTGCGAGAGGGATGTCCTGGATTGCGAGATGGCACAGGCCAGGCTGAGGGACACTGCCCCAAGCATGAATTTCATGCACCAGGTCTTTAACACTCCAGTAAAGACCAAATAAAACAACAACAAAGGCTTTGTAGTTGGTTATTCTAAACTTCTCTGGGACAATATTTTGGTTCCTCACTATCATACTGAAGCAACATTTTTTTTTTTTTAATAAGTGCCATGGCTTGTCCCCTCTTGCAGTAAATTTAAAGGGCACCAAAAAGTGAGAATTGCTCTGCAAGACCTAAGAATTCACTTCCTTGACAGTCGCTCCTGCTACACACATTTGGCACTTCATCCTCACCCGTTGGTTTTCCAGGTAGGAGAGAGACTTTCTGGCCAAATGGCACAATGACTCGCTCAACTCTTTGAGCCACCAGCACACCTATATTTGCTGTTTTTAAGTCATATTTTCCAGAAAACTGGCCTTTCATTGTCAGCTGAATATTCATCAGGGCCCTGTAATGGTGCCATAGACCCACGTGAATTACCAGCTTCTCTTATCAGTTGCACATCTGCCACTGGCAGCAGAACCAATGAATGAAAGTGTGGAAAAGGAAGCACTGGCTGCTACTATGTCTAAATTTCAAATTGTAGCAGATAAAAAGGAAATTGGGAAGAAAGAATGAGTGTAAAGGTTGAGTCTGAAACAGTGAAATGAACTAAGGAGCAAAAGGATGTATATTGGGCCCAAATAATTTAATTTAATTGAAATACCAGATGCCTATCAGATATCATATGACTTTTTCTTAGTTAGAGTAGAATGAGGTTTTTCTTAACTACTAGACCCAACATATTCACACATGGCTATCATTTATGTAATTAAATGGAGTCTGTAAAAGCAGTAACTTAGTTTTCATGGTTCACACGAAAGTTTACTTCACATTAATCCTCTTTCCACAACGAGCTCAAATATTCTTCTCTTCTAGCTCATATAATTTAGAAATATAAATTTTGTACTAATATGAATACCATGAACTAGACAAAATGCAACATCCTTCAAGAACTCTACTATGGAAGGTAAATCTAGATCTAAATCTCTAACGAATCCCCCTTTTTGGCCTGTCTTAATTTAGCTAATGATAAATTTATTTTTAGATTTGCATACAACTTTGAAGATTACTAAATCTTTGAGTAAGTTTTTTAAAGGAACATATTTCATAGCACACAGGTCTAGCGCTTGATTTTCATCAGAACCCTCATATCTATTTTAAGCCTTTAGTGAGCAGCATTTGGCTCCCCAGAATGTATCCATCTACTTCTACCTAATCAGGATTCAACTCTTCCCGTTTTCAGGTACTAGTTTATAGTTTGGGCACCCCTCTCTCCCATTTCCCATTCCCAACTGCAGGAACTAAGCCGGCAGAAGCCAACTAACACATTATATACCCCTTTCCAACCAGAGACCTTCAGAGCCAATGAGAGAAAACAAAACTTTCCTAGATGTCTGAGAACCTCTTATTTTTTCATACAGCACAGAAACCAAAAAGGATATGAGGTTAAAACTACTGCCATTTTGCCATCACGTGGTACCTGATACTGAAACCAACTGAGAGGAAGACAGAACAAAAATGAGGACAAGAACATCCTTCAAACCCTATATCCAATCGCCTATACTAATAAAAGCCTAGGTGGTCCTTGCATGCAACATCATCACAAGATGGCCACCACAAGAGGGCTGCCACAAGATGGCCATATGCACAGTAGAGGCGGGGCCCAGCAGCAGCTTTGTGCAGTGAGGCCTGGGGGTCCCGGAGTCTCCACTACCTCATGCAGAAGAAGCCAGTTGGGCCAACAGGGGAGGGCAGTTGGGGGCAATCGGGCCGGCAGGCAAGGGCAGTTGAGGGCCGTCATGCCAGTAGGGGAGATCAGTTGGGGACCTTCGGGCTGGCAGGGAAGGGCAGTTGGGGGGAACTAGGCCAGCAGGGGAGGGCAGTTGGGGGCAATCAGGCCGGCAGGGGAGGACAGTTGGGGACGATCAGGCCAGCAGAGGAGGGCAATTGGGGGCGATCAAGCCAGCAGGGGAGCAGTTAGGCATCAATCAGGTTGGCAGAGGAGCAGTCAGGGGTACTCAGGCTGGCAGTCAGAAGCAGTTAGAGGCAATCAGGCAGGTGAGTGGTTAGGAGCAGTGGGTCTTGGATTGTGAGAGGGATGTCTGACTGCCGGTGGGATTGGACCTAAACTGGCAGTAGGACATCCCCTTAGGGGTCCCAGATTGGAGAGGCTGCAGGCCGGGCTGAGGGACACCCCAGTGCACAAATTTCATGCATCGGGCCTCTAGTGTCTCTATAAAGCCAGTTCCAATTCTGGACTTTAAAACTATGTGAGCAAATAAATTATCTTCTTCCTTAACTAGTTTGGGTCATAATATTTTTTCAATTTCAACAAAACAAGTCCTGGTTGATATGACCATTATTTATATTCATTTCTAATATAACACATGAAAATAATGTCATTAAACAGATGATCTTTTTTTCTACTAAAGCTAATGATGACTGTTGATAAAAGACTGTTTTATACACTATATTTACAACATACAGATATTTTTAAATGTTAAGTTTTATGATTATACTGTTAATATTTTACATACAACTAATCTTTTTCTGCTATTCAGTCTCACACTGAATACTCCATATGTAATATCCAGAGTCAATATTACATATACCATGCTACACAAAAGGCCAATGGAACAAGTGGTGTGTGTGACTCAGTTCAAATAAAGAGCTAATATACACAATTCTGCTTGACATTTAAATAAATGCAGCTGTGTTAGTTCATAATTTTGTCACTGTCAGATTTTGCATTTGGTCATGGGCATAAAAAAAGAACAAAGTAAACTGGAGACAATTTTAGAACTTAAATAATAATATAAATTAACAAAATTATATATAATAATAAGATAAAGAAATTTTTTAAAAAATATGTTAGTATTTCAGGGAGTTTTACTTAAAAACACTTTTCCAAATATGTAAAATTGCACTCATTATTAATTCTAGTTTATTATGAATGATGACAATCAGAGCTCCTAGCGGACATGTCTTCATTGTTTTACCCTTGAAGCATGTTTCAGTTCATTGAAGGTGGATCTATTCTATAGCATTAATTCCATTCAGGGTTTGAAATGTCTCCTTTGGAACTGTAGGATATGAAACTAAAGGGCATGCCTTCTCTAAGAAAATATGCTAATGTAAATTTGATTCACATCTTCATTAAAATTTTAATTTAATTGTACTAATGCTCTTTGTATTAGAGCTTTTCACTAATAGTAAAATTATAAAAATTATGTATAACCATTACACTGAACTGTGGTCATCTTACAGATGTTATTAATTATAAACATGAAACTCATTAGCATTTACAATAAATTAAAGCACAAACGATGATTAACTCAGGTTATATAGGTAGGCTAAAGAGTTAATCCAAATTAAATGTATCAGTATTGCTATCATTTACTTAATACACAAATGGCCTTATGACATGCTGCACAACAGAAAGATAAAAGATGAAAGAATGAATTTAAGCTTGGAAAAGGAAATGTGACAAGTAAAAATATATTATTCTTCCCATCCCAAAAGCCTTAATGTACTTCTTTCTCTATTTTAAAATTATTTTAATACATTTAAATATATAATATAAATGTATATATAATTCACAATATATAATTGATGGATATTCTTTTCCTTAAGTTTATCAAAACTATGGTGCAAAAACTCTTTCTGAATGGTGGTTTGATTTATTCAATTCAGTTATACTGTATTAAGATTACTAAGAAATCTGTACAATCAAAAACTGTTTTCTAAAAACAATGCTTGCAATGGGGATAAAGAATTTGGAATCTGGAACAGGAGAATTCCTGACTCATAGTCACAAAGTTATTTTCCTATGCAATTTCAACAACAACAAAGGTTTTTATAGCTATAAGCATATAAAACCTAACATCACTAAGCAAATTCAGCCTTTGAAAATATCTGACTTTTTCCTAAAGAATATTCCCCATAAATATTTTAAATCTTTTTGTACCATATATTCTGGAGTAAGCCAAAGAATTTTTATGGCAAAACACAAGAAAATGTTAATAATGGTTAAATAAAGGGGAGGGGGAGGAAAGACTTTTATTTTTTATTTGGCATATTTCTGTGTTGTTTGAATTTCCTCACTGTAGGTACACTGTGGAATAGGAATTATCTGGAATACCACTTTTTTAAAAGTAATAAAAGTAAAAAATAAAAACTGATTTTCTTACTTAGCCAATCACCACAATATTTATGATTAATTAGCACATGTTACATATCCTTATAACTGTTACTCCAACTTAGCAACCTCTGTTCTGATAAACAAACCATAGATAAAACCATTTAAGCGAAGCAGCTCAGGGGCTAGTAAAAACAGCTAGACTGGTTCCTAATTTTGAAAGATTTATTACCAGTTGTAATCTGCCTAAGATAAATTACATTTGTTCCTTAATAGTGTGTTCTATCTAATTCACACTATTATTAAAAGTCTTGGTGTAGCAGATACTACAATATCACTAAGAACTGGTATTCCATATTCTTAACCACATGAACTCGAACTCCAAATGCCTTTCCATGGACTGCTTCCTCTCTGTGGAGAACAGTTCTCTAACCACAGGCAGAAGGGGTTGCTCTTCCGTTTCAGCTTCTTCCCCTGTCACCCTCTGGCGGACCCTGACACTGAACTTGTTCATGTAAAATCAGGAGAGCACAAGAGAGAGGCTAGACTGGTGGGAAGAAAAGGTAAATGATGAAAGTACAAGAGTGGAGAGGGCAGGGTTGAAGGGGTGTGAGAAGAATGAGGCAAGTGACCGGGGAAAGGAGCTCCAGAGCAGCTGGAAGTGAGTGAAAAGCCAGACAGCTACTTAAACCGCCGTTAGATTAGGCAGGTGGACTGCGCTGCTGTCAACGGCACTGCAGAGAACCTGGGCAGTGTGTCTCTACAACTGAAAAGTTTGACTGTTCAGATTTTACATCATTTATGAATTGGCCCACAAAACACGTTTGTAAATCTTTATGCAAACAGTACAAAGTGTAATAATTAAAGTTGACAAAATAAATTTTCTCTATAAAAAATAGAGACATAAATATAAGTATCTACTTCACCTTAAAATTGTTAACATCAATCAAAAGCAAAGCAGCAGTCAGAAAAAAGATCATACCAAAACCTATCTTTGCTATGGCTTAGGGGCAATGAATTACAGAGAATACTCCTAAAAGGAGGGTAAACATCAAAGAGAGACTAACGCCAAAGCCTTCACTTGCTTTGTCCCACACCTCTAACCTCATCAAAAAGAAACACATAAGTCAAATGGTTAGAGTCGTCAAAAAGTAATCCGGTTGGTAAAGAATGTCTAGAGGTTGGTAAAGAATGAAAAAGTCTAAAGAGCACAAAAAATTGTGGGTTGTTTTGTTTGGTTTTTTTTTTTTTTTTTTTTTAAGTGTTATTTCCTTGGAATCTAAGGTACACAGCGCCACCTATTGGGGAAAGCAAGACCACCATTCACTAGAAGCAGGTAAGACTTTGGGTAAATATGGATTATTTACCTGAGGCTGAAGCAAAGCAGCCAGGCATGTGGGGAGACCAGATTGTGCTATAAATGACACTTTCATGGCCTCTAAAGGTGCATAGAGACTTGCCAACATTTGGATCCCACTGCAAATAAATGAACAGATCAATTACTTAACAGGTAAATTCAAATGTATGCTTTCACATATAATACACACAACACACACACACACACTATACATATGTGTCTCAAGGACTTTTTAAAAATCCATTTTTTTAATATATTTTATTGATTTTTTACAGAGAGGAAGGGAAAGAGATAGAGAGCTAGAAACGTCAATGAGAGAGAAACATCAACCAGCTGCCTCCTGCATACCTCCCACCGGGGATGTGCCCGCAACCAAAGTACATGCCCAGAATTGAACCCGGGACCTCTCAGTCCACAGACCGACGCTCTACCGTTGAGCCAAACCAGTTTTGGCTAAAAATCTATTTTTACATAAAGCAAGATGGCATTTATGGGGCCAAAATAATCAATGTTGAGCTGATTATTAGTTTACAGCCAAAAGATTAAAAAATATTAAATTTTAATAAATGCTTTCATACATTTAAAAAAAATTAACTGCCTAATTTAAAAGCTACATAAAAATATTCTAGAATAGAAAAAAAGCATTGGAAGCTTTAGGGAAAGGAATATTTGTTTTTAAATACAGTAATATCAACATACCAGTTTGATGGTTTGATCCCATGAACCAGATACCACAAGGTGTTCGCCTCTGGTTTGGCTCCAATCAACACTATATACCTATAAAACATTTAAAAGTGTTATTTAGAAAGCAAAAGGGCATCAAGTTCAATATTATATTTTATCTCTGTAACAGTGATAGCCAGCTAGAACAACTAATTTACTTTGTTGAAACATCAAGTCTACAAATCTTAACACAGTGTCTGAGAAACAGATTCTACTTTAATAAAATTCTACAGAATATTCCCAAATCTCCTTCACTAAAACAAATTATACATATTTTTAAAACTACCACAAGTCACTGTTTGCAGCACCCTGAGGAAATGTCAAAGTAGATCAGAAAACCATCTAAAAAAGCTTGCTGGGTCAATGTTTACCATAAAACATTAAAATTCAATTACTATCACTAGCTGGCCTTTCTTAGAAAAAGCTTATAGGAACCAGGTGATCCTTCCGGATCTCTTGGTAAACAGTTTTAGTTATCCAGTGCTGCTATTCTAACCTATGCTTCACTGCTCTCAGTGAACCATTTCAGATAAACTATTTGGAAAAAATTTCAATGTCATTTTATACAACAGATTATATATAGATCACTACTATAAACTAAGTTCAACAGAATACTTGCATAATTATACTTTATGAAAGTAGTCCCGACATGGATCTGAGTATGTCATTAAATGTGATCATCAACTTATTTTAAATCTAAAAACGCCACCATATTTATGTAAGAAGTATGAGTATTTGGGGTTAGTAGTGGTTTAAGTATGGGTTACCTGTTCTCAGCTGCCTAGTGCTAAGCTGAGCATCTTGGATGGAGCCTGAGTAAAACCAAAAAATTAGTAATTCTGATCCTATCTTTATTTTCCAGTAAAACGGATATTTTGTTAATTATAGATTTTTGTGTTAATTTTTGTTTTTTAATTACTGCACTAAGACATTATTTATTTTGACTACTAAGTTTTTTGGGGGCTCCTTTAAATTATATACTCAAGGTGAGGGCCTTATCCAGCTTGTCCTAGTCCTGGCCCTGCTGCTACCCACATCCATGCAAAAGAGAAAAGAGCAATTGTAACACTACAGAAACCACAATCCAGTAGCAGAGAGCAGCTCATAAAGTGTACAGAAGGGGCAGCAGAAACCAAAGACTGCTACGGCCATTTGTTAATTATGGGTGGAAAGGCAGGTTTGGAAGCAGTCCCTGAAGATTTTGAGAGCTGAAGAGCTTTATTTTATCTTCTAGTCCAGGTCTCAACAAATATCTCCTGTTAAGGACCAAATAAATATTGTAGGTTTTCTAGACCATTTGCTCTCTGTCAAAACTACTAAACTCAGTCTTGTAGAGCACAAAAGTAGCCATAGATGATATTTAATGAACGGGTATGGCTGTGTTTCAATAAAACTTTATTTCAAATCAGACAGTGGGGTGGGTTTAGCCTTGGCCCAAGTATAGTAGTTTGGCAACCTCTGCTCTGGCTGATGTGAACAGTGAAAAATAACTATAAAAGCAAATCTTTATTGAGCACCTACTGCATGCAGGATGTTTTCCATAAACACATTGTATATTTTATCTCATTTAATCTTCACGTCTATGAAGTAGATAATATGTCAAAGTTTAATTCCCAAAGCTAGAGCTGAAATCTGAACCTAGGCGGCCTAATTATAGAGCCCACAGTTAACCACTTAGCTAGGCCATCTCTACAGCATGCTGCTCCAGGGCACTGTTGAACTGGAACTTCTTGGTGACAATAAGCTGTGATATTAAGGAAATAAAACACTACCCTACTGGTATCACCCTTCACTAGAGCTATCTTTGGGCTCAGACTTATTTTATTTTGTTTTCATGAACTAAACATATCCAGAACTTAAAGTCCCTGTTCACCTGCTTAACTCCTGCTCAAATGTCAACTCTTGGCCCAATGATGTCCTTCATGACATACGCTTCCCCTGATGATCCCTCAATGATTTAAATGCTTCCTTCTGTGCGTTCCAACAGCATCTACTTCTGATTCAGCATTTACCATATTTTACTAATATTCATGTTAAATAACTGCTAGATTTTGAAAGACCCCTCTAAGTAAAATCTTAAGAGGTACATCTTATACATCTATGCTCACTGCAATATAACTCAATAAATGTGAATTAAAATAATTAAACCAACCAAATTTATGTTCACAATCTGTAACTTTGCTTTAAGTAGGTATAAAGAGTTATTGGTTTCATTTTAAAAGATAACTGAATACAACTAAAAGCTAACATCATGAGCTCACACTCCACTGCCTCTATCCATTTCCAGCCTGATGCAGGACTTGAAACCCTATGACCCCTCACCTTTTAAAATGGCAAGAGACCCCATAGGCTCAGAGAGAACCCAGCCCTGACGAGGTGAAAAGCTGGAGGCAAGAAAGCTATGCAGATGGCAGTGTCCTGCCAGCTGACTTATCTGTCACACAGCTTGGCAAGCATAAGGGCTCTAGGACCAAACTAAGGACAGGCACACATGATGGAGTTAAAAATGGATTAATAAGAAGGAAATTAAGGTGACTCAATCAATAACCAGTTTATTTGCTTTACTGTGTTTAAAGTATTAGGACATGGGGTAGTAACTAACAGTACAAGTCAGGATACTGTGTTTTAAAAAAAAGAACTATAGACCTAAGTATAAAAATGGTGCTGGGGTGGAAACTTCAGCTTGATGCCAGCAGAGAAGGATTCAAGAAGGGCCTTGAGGGCTGGCTACAATGTTAATAGCAGGAAGCAGAGGTGCAAACACTGACCAGAAACTCCTCCAAAGATATATGTGGGCACAGAAAGCACCAAGATATTAGGACTAGTGACCACCGCATAACGCCAAGGTTTTGTGCCTGGGGGCTGTCAGTGATGCTGGCTTGAACAAACTGGAAGACTGGAGGAAGGAAGATAAGGTGTAATTTTAGACATACTGAGTTTGAGGTGACAGCAAGATACTCAAGTGGAAATGTCTAGTAAGAATAGGGGTTTTGCATTAACTTGAAGCGCTGGAAAAAGTTTATAGCCATAAGAATGTTTGGGATAAAATCCATTATCCCAACCTTTAGTCAACTTACTAATCTATTCAATAAGTATTTATTATGCACCTACTACACTGAGTGGCCAGATTTTTATGATCTCTGAACGCATACTAATCTGGCCACTCAGTGTACTTCTTTTGAGTACCTCATTTATTTGATATCAAAGATACTATAAATCTTGCACCTGATCAATTTTCCCCTTTGCACTGGCTGATAGAAAGCTCAGGGCAAATAGGTGGTTGATCTCCAGCAAAAGTGCAGAATACTTTTGGTACCCAGTTGAGATACAAATACACTGAGTGGCCAGATTATTATGGGTTCAGAGATCATAATAACCTGGCCACTCAGTGTATATATACAAGGCACAAATTGAGGGGTGGGGTACAATGTAAGAGAAAACAGACAAGTCCCAACCCTCATGTACGTTATATTTTAGCAGGAAAAACAGGCTGTAAGTAAATTTTTTAAAAATTACAAAGCCAAGTAAGGAGACTGGAAAACAATGACAAGGGCAGGAGGTCACTTCTCAACAGTGGCCAGGGAAGACTGCTCTGAGCAAAGAACTCTTTGCAGTAAGAGAGAAAACTCTGCAGATTTGAGAAGAAAGGCTTTCAGTAGAACAGGGAAAGGCCCTGAAGCATAAAACAAGCGTGTCATGTTTGAGGAACAGCAAGGTCAAATAAGGAGAGACAAAAACCCAAAGGGCCATGGTTACGGGTTTATATATAATTTCTCTTAAGAGGCTACACCTATCAACTACCAGCTAGATTATAGCATTCTTCTAACTGTTCTTCCCATTTATTTTTGCTCACCTCCAATCTGTTATCTACGTTGCATAAAAAATTACCTTTGTAAGACACACTTAAAGTCACCACCTGCCCCCCCACACACACACACAAAGCCCTTCAGTCATTTCATCCTACATAGTTCCTGCAATTAACATCCTCACTCTACACTGAGATGTATCCATGCTACTTACTACTGAAAGATAAAAGCATGCAAAACTACACATGACTAAGGATTCATACATATGTAATAGAACTAAAAGAAAAAACACATAAACAGAAAATTGAGGATAGTGGTTGCTCCTGGGAAGAAAGAAGGAAGGAAAAAGGGAAGGAAAAGAATAGGATAGAAAAAAAGAAAAAAAAAAGAAGAAGAAGAAGAAGAAGACAGGACAGTAACCAGGTACTCCACAGTATAGCTAAAGTTTTATTTCTTTAGCGAGGTGATGAATATACACGTGTTCGTCATATATTTTTTACATGTTTTTATATGCATATAACATTTCAGAGTAAATTTTTTTAAATCTTCAATGTCTTTTCACTGACCTTAACTTAAGGGCCAAAATGCTCACTGCTCTGGGCACACAGGCCCAATCCTTCCCCTTCCAGCATGCACTTCCCTTTGCTGCTAACCCTGTTCCTCTGACCTCTCTGCCTAAATAGCCAATTCCTACCCTCCTGTCAGACTCAAGGACGTCCTCTTCCCCAGACCAGACCCTCCCCTCTTGTAGCACTCTGCACAGTCACAGCCCTGGACACAGTACAACTTGGATGACCAGCAGCTTATGACTCTCTCCCCAGAGAGGCCAGGACTGCAGAAGGGTAAGGAGAGCCTGACTGGTTCATCTGCCCCAGTAGGCCTTTGCAGACAGTAGAGTTAAAGTTTTTGGAATGAATGAAGGGACAGAGACACAAATCTGAATGGAAAACACACCTCCCAATAGTCCACTCTTCCACCTTTTCCCTACTCCCAATTCCCCCTCCTCTACCACTCAGACAATGCACATGGCAAATGGTCAAAGTATAAAAAAGAAGAAAAATATGCAGCTATGCTTTAACAGCAGGGGCCTCTGCAGGCCTATCTTATGAAATTGCTCTTAGCAATGGTGAAGAAAATTAATTTAAAAATTTCAAAAAGAAAAAGATACTGGAGAATATTTTGTGCTACTTTATGAAATCTAAACCTCATCAAAATCAGTTTGAGAGGACAAATTTTATTACTGAAACT